AACGTTCTAATTTCAATTTTTACTTTGAACGCGTATTACAGCAATATGGATAAGAGCACAGGAATGTATCTATATCGCCACCCCTTAGACTAGTCCACGCCTCGCCAGGGAGGCGCGCCTCACAGTTTGGAAAACGCTGGATTAGAGGGAGACTTGTTTTGTTTATTTATCTTTGCTGACGGGAAGCTTGTGGCTCTTTTCTACGCTTGCGGGGAATCCCCTGTCCCTCTTAAGCTTTACTCATCGTTTACTGAAACTATTGCGAGTTTCAGCCACACCCAACCAGTACACAGCGTACTAGTCTCTGAACAATTTGTGCTTAACTAAATTGTGTTTTGTGTAATACTATAAGTGCTCAGCAATGGAGGTGAAAAGAAATAAAGATGCAATTAATCATATCCAAGTTGCATTGGGCTATGAAGGTTCATTAAGTACGGATGAAGAAGTGCACTCATTAACTAAATTAGATGAATCTGACACTGAATACCAGTCAATTGCAACAAGAATAAGATTAGTTAAGCCTACTATTGGCGATGTTGTTGTGACGTCGATAGAGAAGGTCTTCAATCCCTATACGCTTGCACTTTACAACTTGAAGAAATCCGAAATGGATGGATTCGAATGCGAACTGTGGCACGGAACCAAGGAATCCAATGTCGATCTAATTTGCAAGAACAATTTGAACTACAGATTAGTGAGACAGTACAAGTTCGGCAAAGGCGTCTCGTTCTCAAAATATTTTTCGTACGCGTTCCACTACAGCGTTTCAAATAGACCAATGTTCAATATGGAATATTGCGTATTCCTCTGCAAAGTTATAAAGAATAGATGTCATATTGGTAGACAAGGATTAATATATCCAATTATTGGATACGATTCGACGATGAAATCCGATGAAGATGTGATTGTCAAGTACGATGATGACACTTTCTACCCGATGTACAAAATAGGCTTCACCATAAAGCGTAGGAATTGTCCATGAGATAATTTAATTTAATGCATTAACTTTTGCTTACTTTTGTTTGATTGTTTCTAATACGTATATATATATATATACTCGTGTATTAAAGTTACCAATATTAGAAATAAACTATATTCTATTATTAATCGTTTATTTGTTCTGAACCTTCATTACTGCAACAAATAAACACAAGTTTTTTTATTCTCCCGACGTCTTCGCCCTTCTCTCTCATTCGTACACCGTTTAAATAATTATAAAAGATTTGTATAATTATCAATGTATATTTTGTAAAGAAAAAAATTACTGAGATTCCGTCACTTCTTATATTTTGTAATCCATCAGTGGTGCTTTTCTTCTTTGAGGGGGAATCCCCTGTTTCTGTGAAGGTTACTCTCAATCTAGTAATTTCGATTTAAACGTTGCCAACATTAAAGTTTTAGTAGTCGAATACGAATATATTGCGTACGAGTGTGTGTGCACATTTGGTTGCATACATTAAATCTCGTAAAGGACAAACTATTCACATTTCTTGTTATTATGATTTAATTTGATCCAATAAAAACTAGAGCGTCTTGATTATCGAATCCTCGAGTTTTCGCAATAATGATTCGCAGGATTAGATTAAAATAAATTTATTAAGAAATCGTCGGTAATGATTAAATTAAGCAGCCTCGCAGTTCTTCATCCACCTGGTCAGATTCACGTTGATCTCGGCTCCTTGCGCCACCTGTTTGATGGCGGAGTAGAGGGCGACGTCCGCAACACCGAAACCCGTCTCCCCTAACAAGAAATCGCTCTTGCCGAGCCTCTTGTTCACCAGCTGCATCAGCTCCATGCGTTTCTGCTTCGTCTGCGACTTGGCGATGCTGTAGCTGAGATCCAGCAGATCGTCGATCTCGAAGTTCTTCTCGTCGTACGATAAACCTCCGGTCAGTCTGCAGATGTGCCTCAAGAAGTTGCACTCGTCCAGTATGGGAACGGAGCACACCATCAGTTCCATTTGATTGAAGCCAACTGGAAAATCGTCAAATCATTAGCATTATTATTTTTTTTTTCTATTTACAAATTAATTTGATTGCTGCACTTACTGTTCTTCCAGATCAATCTGACGGAGATCTTCGGTGCGTCCGCATTCTTTTGAACGAAAC